TCTATTTCTTGGTTAACTTTCTAATTTTGTTCCTGAATTGTTTTCCAAATTTCATCTGGTTTTCTATCTGTATTTATTTTGTAATTTCTTTAACTTTTAAAACAAGATTATTCTGAATTATTTGTCAGTCATTTTATAGATCTTTAGTTTTTCTGAGTCCATTATGAAGGGGTTTTTTTCAGTCTTTTTTGATGGTGTCATATTTTCCTGAGTTTTTACAATTCTTGCATTTTTTTATGTTGATGCCTGCACATTGAGTTCTTGCAGGTCATTTCGATGGTGTTAGGTCTTTACTAGTTAGTATTAGAACTTAATCACTGGTCTGCTTTTGCTTCTGAGTCTGGGGAAACTCAGAAGCAAGTGAAAACCAGAAATTAAATGCTGCACTAGAAATAAATCACTGCCCTATTGTTTTCAAGTCTATGGAAGATTTACAGTAAGCCCTGTAACTTAAACACTGCATCAGAACTATGTTGCTGCCCTGCTGTTGTTCTTCAATGAATTACAAAATCTATTAATAAAGATAGTTTTTTTTAAGTGAGCACCAGAACTTAACTGCCAAATATGCAGATGTTTCCAGGTCAGTAGAAGGCTCCACGTGGGTATGTGGACTTTGTGGGAAATCCAGCCAGGAATTTGGTCCTTCCTGTGAATTTTGTCTCCTTCAGCACTGTAGGCCACCCACTTTACTCAATGTGGTATCTTCACTGATTGGAGCACAGAACAGCTATAAAAATTCACATGCCAGTCAATGCAATTAGAGCCTTCCCTTTTTGACCACAATTTATCCCAGGTTGTTCAGTCCTCCCTGCACTTTAAATGTTCCCTGGAACAGGTAATGGAGTGAGCTTCCTGTGAAGATTCTAAAACCAGTTTGGAGACTGAGCATTCACCTCCAATTTCCTCCTCCCATTCTGGGAACCATATGTCTAGAAAAATTCTGTGAGTGGTGTTATCCCTGTTTGCAGGAGGGGGTGACACCCTTTAAAGTGTAGGTTATTCCTCTTACCAATATCAGGTTTTCTTGATTCTGTGTGTTCAGGAAGCTTCTGCACTTCTCCCTTGAGTTTTGGTGAATTCGGGATGGTAGTCTTGTCTTTGAATAACTTCTAGTTGTATTTTTTTTCTACAGGAAGTGATCCTGAGAGATCTTCTATTCTGCCACCTTGCTCATATCACTCTGTGACTTTCTTAGTTATTTATCTTTTAGATCTATTTGTGATTGTTGCAGTTTCTGTGCTTGCTTCTCATGCTGGTTAAATTATTATTAATTTTTCAATAAGATCTTCTAAAAAATAAAGTGGTTAGTGGAATGTATATGTGTTGTAGATTGATGGGAGATGAGATTTTGTGGGAAAATTGATAGATTCTGTCCAGGCTTGCTGTCATACTATTAAATCTTGCTTTTGTTTTGTTTTGTTTTTTTGTTGTTAAAGAAATGATTGCAATCCACATGTGTCTTTTATGTGTTGCAATTTGGCACTATCTTTCTCCTTTTTTTTTTTTTTAATCCATTTTTACTGTCAGAGTCCCTAAATTCTATTAGGAATCGATCTCAAGCAATAGAAATGGTTCATCATTGTGGTTTCTTCTTCAACTCTTCTTTCTTAGGACCCTAAATATGATTATGATTACCACCAACAAAGCATATTAGGTGTACCTTTCAGTGATGACACTTTGGAGGAAAACCTGTGTACTGTTATAGATTCAAGAAAGCATGACTCTTATCTTTTAGTATTCTCCAAAGCCTCCTGCCAGATTTCATGACAGTACTTTTAGTATCAGGGGCTATGGAGATTTTCTTACTTTTTTTTCTTTGTTTCTGGGACTTTTATAGGAAAAATGAGGGCAAAGGGAAGCTTTATTCTGCTGTCTTCTTATGGATTTAAAAATAAACAATAACCAGAGAATTTGCAAGATTGCCGTATGACTCTCTGAGTACTTTGGAGATTACTAAGAACACAGTTTAAATACCTATAATAACTATCTGTTTTTAGAAAAAAGCCATAATGCTGCAGGTCTCAGAAGTAATTTGGTGAGGAATAAACATATATACTATATAATCCAAAATGGCTTTTCCATGGTCCTATAACATAGAGAGATACATTAGTAGGTAAATGATTATGTTTTTCAAAGTATTTCCAAGGTATGATTCCAATTAATATCAGTTATTGGCCCTTAAATTGCATCCACATATTACAATTAATCCTTTTCTAAAGATGGATAATTTTTTTGTGGTACTAGCTGAAGATTTGTCCTTCAAACATGAATATATAAGTCTTAAACTATCTGCAAACATTTAAAAATTTTGAAGATTATTGTAAATATCTAGATTTCTGGCTTCTTTGGGGAATTTAAAACACCTGAGAAAATCTGTCATACCTTTGTAGTGGTGAGAATAATAGGTTTTTAAAATAAAACAGGTACTTTTAGTTTCACCATGCTTTGTAGGCCACCCCTATCATCACTAGGCCCATTTCACTCACATTACATACTCAGTCTCAGTAGACATTTGAGTTTATTAATTGGGGAACAGATTTTGGCAACTAAAAGAACCAATTCATTCTAAGTTTTTATATTTAATAACTCTGTGACTTTCCACAGTATGCATAATATCAATAAATTCTATTTCCCTCATCTGTTAAATGGAGATAAAATACTTATTTTCATCAATTGTTATGGTGATTAAATGAGATAATAAATGTACTTAGTATAATAGATGGCATATAGTAGCTATTTTGTAAGAATTTAAAATTATTTAACATATTTGTATTACATTGAATAATTTGTATGTTAAATTGTAAAGTAAATAAGGTTAGATCATTGGGAGGTAAAATAATTAGTACTATGTACTATGCTTCTGCCTCAAACAAAATGTTAGGGTTTTTTGTTGTTTTTTACTGTATGTACTTTTTTACTTTTTCAGTTTCTATCATAAAAGCAGGGATACACATGCAGATTTGTTACAAAAGTATATTGTGTGATGCTGAGGTCTGGGGTATGACTGAATGCATCACCCAGATAGCATAATACCCAAGAAGTCATTTTATCCCTTCTTCCTCCCTCTTCTAGTATTCCATGGTGTCTGTAGTTCCCATCTTTATGTCTGTGTATACCCAGTGTTTACTACATGTAAGGGAAGAGATGCAGTATTTGTTTTCTGTTTTTGCATTAGCTTTCTTAGGATAATGACCTCTGGCTACATCCATGTTGCTGCAAAATACGTGATTTTGTTCTTTTTTATGGCTGTATATTATTCCATGGTATATATGTACCACATTTTCTATATCCAATTCACAACTGATGAGCACCTATGTTGATTTCATGTCTTTGCTATTATGACTGGCACTGTGGTGAACCTATGGAATGCATGTGTCCATTTGGTAGAACAATTTATTTTCCTTTGGATATGTAGCCAGGAATTGGATTGCTGAGTCAAATTGTATTTCAACTTTTGGTTCTTTGAGAAATCTCCAAACTGCTCTCCAAGTGTTTAGACTAATTTATGTTCCCACCAACAGTGTGTACATGTCCCCTTTTCTTCACAGACTTACCATCTGTTTTTTTTTTTTTTTTTTTTTTTTTTTTTAGTTTTTTATTATAGCTATTCTAGGCCAGGCGTGGTGGCTCATGCCTGAAATCCCAGCACTTTGAGAGGCCAAGATGGGGGGATCACTTGAAATCAGGAGTTTGAAACCAGCCTGGCCAACATGATGAAACCCTGTCTCTACTAAAAATACAAAAAAATTAGCTGGGCATGGTGGCATACACCTATAATCCCAGCTACTCTGGAGGCTGAGAGGAGAATCACTTGAACCCAGGAGGTGGAGGTTGCAGTGAGCTGAAATCACACCACTGCACTCCAGCCTGGGCAACAAAGTGAGATTCTGTCTCAAAACAACAACAATAATAATAATGGCCATTCTGACTGCTGTGAGATGGTATCTCATTGTGGTCTTAAATTGCATTTCTCTGATGATTAGTGATGTGGAGCATTTTTTCATATGTTTCTTGGCCACTCGTTTGTCTTCTTTAGTTTCTGTTTTTGTCTTTTGCCTTATTTTATAATGGAGTTATTTTTTTTTTTTTTGCTTGTTGGTTTAAGTTCCTTATAGATTCTAGACCTTTGTTAGATGCATACTTTGTGAATATTTTCTCTTATTCTGTAGGTTGTCTGTTTACTCTGTTGATAGTTCCTTTTGGTGTGCAAAAGATCTTTAGCTTAACTAGATCCCATTTGTTGATTTTTGTTTTTGTTGTAATTGCTTTTGAAGACTTAGCCATACATTCTTTGCCAAGGCTGATACTGAGAAGGCTATTTACTAGGTTTTCTTCTAGGATTATGGTGGTTTGAAGTCTTACATTTAAATCTTGAATCCATCTTGATTTAATTTTTGTATATAGTAAAAAGCAAGGGTTCAATGTCATTCTTCTGCATATGGCTTGCCAGCTATCCCAGCATCATTTATTGAGTAGGGAGTCCTTATTGCTTATTTTTTCTGGGTTTGTCAAAGATCAGATGATTATGTGGCTTTATTTCTGAGTTCTCTATTCTGTTCAGTTGGTCTATGTGTCTGTTTTTGTCCCAGTACAATGCTCTTTTAGCCCTGTAATGTAGTATCAAGTCAGGTAGTATGATGCTGTTAGATTTGTTCTTTTTGCTTAAAATTGATTTGGCTAGTAGGGTTCTTTTTTATTTCTATGAATTTTAGAATAGTTTCTCCAAATTCTGTTAAAAATGATGTTGGTAGTTTGATAGGAATCCCCTGAACCTGTAAATTGCTTTGGGCAGTGTCACCATTTTAATGATATTGACTCTTTCAGTTTATGAGCATAGACTGTTTTTTTATTTATTTGTGTTATTTCTAATTTCTTTTGGCAGTGTATTTTTAGGTCTCCTTGTAGAGAGCTTTCACCTTCTTGGTTACATGCATTCCTAGGTGTTTCACAAAATGTTGGTTTTTTAAATCAACTACTTTGGCACTCTATTATTATTACAGTTAAAAATGAAGCAGCCTCAGAACTTCCAGATACAGCAGAAAATCCTTCAGCAGTGTATCCATCAATTAGTGACCTAATAATTCAATTTGATTTAAACAAAGTGGTTGGTAAGTACAGATTTATGTTTGGATACAGTAGAACACAATCTAAGAATTAAAATATTTCAACTGTACAGTTTTGTTAAGACAACAACAGGAAATTTAAAGAATGAGTTCATTCTAAATCTATGTACCAATTAATGTGTTTCTTTAAATTATGTATTTTTACTCCACCAGACAACATTAATTATGTAATGTTTCATATATTTCCCTTTGCCTACTTATAAAAGAAAATGTATACAGGCTTTCCACTATTTTGAATTTTCAAAATATAAATTGGATGCTATATGAACAGTTCCTTGAGGACAAAATTGTCATTTCTTTGTGTGTGTGTGTGTGTGTATATATATGTATGTGTGTGTGTGTGTGTGTGTGTATATTTATATTTTATTATACTTTAGGTTCTGGGTACATGAGAAGAACATGCAGGATTGTTGCATGGGTACATAGATGGCAATGTGGTTTGCTGTCTCCATCGCCCCATCACCTACATTTGGCATTTCTCCCGATGTTATCCCTCCACAACTCCCTACCCCCTGCTGTCCCTCCCCATTTCCCCCCAACAGATCCCGGTGTGTGAGGCCCCTCTTCTTGTGTCCATGTGTTCTCATTGTTCAACACCTGCCTATGAGTGAGAACATGCAGTGTTTAATTGTCTGTTCTTGTGTCAGTTTGCTGAGAATGATGGTTTCCAGGTTCATCTATGTCCCTACAAAGGATACAAACTCATTGCATTTTATGGCTGCATAGTATTCCTGGTGTATATGTGCCATATTTTCCCTGTCCAGTCTATCATTAAACCAAGAGAGATCAGGCATTTTCAGCTCAGTCACAGTGGGACATCTTTTAATCCATATTTCAGCTAACCAAGCAAATAAACCTTTAGAACCTTTTTTTTTTTAACTCCGAAGTTGCAACATTAAATGCAGAATCCCTGCTTAGTGGGCCTAAATCAATAAATTAAGCCTGTTTCAACTTTATGTTTCTTCCACCCTTATCCTCCACCCTAATATCCATTCCCATGCCTGTGCTCCAGAGTGCTGCTTAAGTAAATTAGGAAACTCAAACAGTTCTTTTGGAGTGTAGTGCACCTCCATGCGGATTACACTTTGAACCTCACCTCTAGGGGCCTGCTGGGACTTTAGCCTAGTTATAGGTCTAGAAGCAAACAGGGTTGTTGGGAGTGGGTCCAGAAAAAAATCAGCATTGTCTTGCCTGGCACCTGCCTCAAGTGAGGTCATCATCATTACCTCAGGCAGTGCAAGGTTAATTTCCTCGGACAAATGTGGAAAGGCTGATGGCAGTGTGGGTCATAGATCAGGGAGGAAATATTGCCACCACTTGGAGTGGGGAGGCTGTTTCTCTGGCAAAAAAAAAAAGGTTCATCAGAAGTTAGGAGCTCAGTGCCTCCAGCTTCATCAGGGTCCTCCCATATTCCCAATTTTAAGTTGCATTGTCCCATTATTTTATATATATATACACATTTATATATATATATACACACACTTTAAGTTCTGGGGTACATGTACAGATTGTGCAGGATTGTTACATTGGTGTACACATGCCATGGTGGTTTGCTGCATCCATCCCCTCCATCATCTATGTTAGGTATTTCTCCTAATGTTATCCTTCCCCAGTAACCCCACCCCTTGCTATCTCTCCCCTAACTCTCCCACCCCTAGCTCTCCCACCCCCAACAGGCTCCAGTGTGTGATGTTCCCCTCCCTGTGTCCATGTATTCTCATTGTTCAACACCCACTGATAAGTGAGAACATGTGGTGTTTGGTTTTCTGTTCTTGAGTCAGTTTGCTGAGAATGATGGTTTCTGGCTTCATCCAAAGTACAATGAACTCATCCTTTTTTATGGCTGCATAGTATTCCATGTGTATATGTGCCACATTTTCTTTATTCAGTCTATCATTGATGGGCATTTGGGTTGGTTCCAAGTCTTTGCTATTGTAAACAGTGACACAATGAACATACATGTGCATGTGTCTTTATAATAGAGTGACTTATAATCCTTTGGGTATATACCCAGCAATGGGATTTTTGGGTCAACTGATATTTCTAGTTCTAGATCGTTAAGGAATTGCCACACTGTCTTTTACAGTGGTTGAACTAATTTACACTCCCACCAACAGTGTAAAAGCATTCCTATTTCTCTACATCCTTTCTAGCATCTGTTGTCTCCAGATTTTTTAATGATAACCATTCTAACTGGTGTGAGATGGTATCTCAATGTGGTTTTGATTTGCATTTCTCTAATGGCCAGTGATGATGAGCATTTTTTCATACTTTTGTTGGCTGCATAAATGTCTTCTTTTAAAAGGTGTCTGTTTATATCCTTTACCCACTTTTTGATAAAGTTGTTGGTTTTTTTTCAAAGAACTTTAAGTTTTTTGTAGATTCTGGATATTAGCCATTTTTCAGATACATAGATTGCAAAAAAATTTTCCCATTCTGTTGGTTGCCAGTTCACTCTAATGATAGTTTCTTTTGCTGTGCAGAAACTCTTTAGTTTAATTATATCCCATTTGTCTATTTTGGCTTTTGTTGTTATTGCTTTTGGTATATTAGTTATGAAGTCTTTGCCTATGCCTATGTCCTGCATGGTATTGCCTAGGTTTTCTTCTAGGATGTTTATGGTGTTAGGTCTTATGTTTAAATCTTCTTTTTTTTTACTTTTCTTTTTTCACTTTTTTTCATTTTAATTTTTATATTATGTTCTGGGGTTCATGTGCAGATTTGTTTCATAGAAAAACATGTGCCATGGTGGTTTGCTGCATCTATCAACCTGTCACCTATGTATTAAGCCCCACATGCATTAGCTATTTTTCCTAATGCTCTCCCTCCCTCACCCCACCTCCAATACAGGCCCCCGAGTGCGTTGTTCCCCTCCCTGTGTCCAGGTGTTTATAATGTTCAGCTTCCACTTATAAGTGAGAACATACGGTGTTATTACTTTTCTATGGATGCTGAAACTATTACAAACTGGATGGCTGAAAACAACAGAAATACATGCTCTAACAGTCCTGAAGACAGATGCTCTGCATGCTTCCCTGGGCTGAGTCAGTTTCACCCCACTACACTTCCTATTCTGGCTCCAGGGAAGAATCTGCTCCTTGCCTCTTCCAGCTCTGGTGACTGCCAGCATCCCTTGCTTTGTAGCAGCATCTCTCCAATTTCTAACTTCGGTGTCACATCACCTTCTCTTCTGTGCATGTCTGTCTAATTCATAAGCATGCTTGCAGGGAAATTTAGGGTCTGTCCAAGTCATTCATGGTCTCAAGATCCTCATCCTTATCTCTAAAGTTTTTTACTTAATCACTTTTGCAAAGACTCTTTTCCAAATAAAATATTATTTACAAGTCCTAGGGACTAGTACATGGACATATCCTTGGGGCTACCTTTCTGCTCACAATAATAGGAGTCACAAAAACACAGTCTGTCAAAATAATGACAATAACAAAAACAAATTAAAAACCCAACAGGAAAAGAAGGGGTCGCATTTTGTCAAATCTTTTTTCAATGTTCTTAGTTTATTTGCATTGGGTTAGACCATGTTCTTTTAACTCACAAAAGTTTCTCATTACCCACCTTTTGAATTCTGATTCTGTCATTTCATCACACTCATTCTCCATCCAGCCTTGTTCCCTTGCTGGTGAGGAGTTGTGATCCCTTGTAGAAGGAGAGGTGTTCTAGTTTCAGGTGTTTTCCTCCTTTTTGGGCTGGTTTCTTCCCATCTTTGTGGATTTATTCATCTGTTGTCTTTGTAGTTGCTGGTTTTCAGATTGGGTCTCTGAGTGGATGTCCAGTTTGTTGATGATGAAGTTATTTCTGCTTCTTAGTTTTCCTTCTAACAGTCTGGCCCCTCTGCTGTAGGACTGCTGAGGTCCACTCCAGGCCCTGTTTGCCTGGGCATCACCTGCAGCAGCTGCAGAACAGTAAGGGTTGCTACCGGTTTCTTCTTCTGCTATATTTGTCCCAGAATGATGCCCACCAAATGTCAGTCTGATCTCTCATTTATGAGGTGACTCTTTGGATATACGGGGGTCAGGGAGCTGCTTAAGGAGACAGTCTGTCCTTTATAGGAGCTCAAGTGCTAAGCTGTGAGCTCCGTTGTTCATTCAGAGCTGCTGGGCAGGTACGTTTAAGTCTGCTGCAGCAGAACTCATAAACCGCTTTTTGTTCCCAGGTGCTCTGTCCCAGGGAGTTAGGGCTTTATTTATGAGTTTCCATTGTGCTGTTGCCTTTTTTTTTTTTCAGGGCTGTCCTGCCCAGAAGGAGGCAGCCTAGTCACTGTCTGCCTGCAGAGGCTTTGCTGAGCTGCTGTGGGCTCCACTCAGCTGCTGTGTGAACTTCCCTGCAGTCCTGTTTATATGGGGGTAGTTAGAACTGCCTCCGCAATGGTGGCCCACCTCTGTATTGGTGGACTCTCTCTGTAATGGCAAGTTGCCTTGGCAATGATGGGTCGCCTTGGCAACAGCAGGCTGCCTCAGCAATGGTGGACTACCACCATAGGGTGGAGTGCCTCGGTAATGACAGACGCCCCTCCCCCACAAAGCTGGAGCATCCCAGGTTCAGCTGTGCTTGCTGTGAAACTCTCAATTCAGAGAGTTTCTGACTGCTCTTCTTTTGTGGGGGTGGGACCAGCCAAGCCTGATCACCTGGCTCCCTGCCTCAGAGCCTTGTTTTTTGAACAGTTGACTCTCTCCCAGATGTTCCAGTCACCTGTTGAAAAGGCACCAGGATCTCTGTGATTTCCTGTGCAGTGACTCACTGCACCAGCTTAAACACTGGTGCTGAGATTTGTGGTGCTTTCTTTGCCCAGGAATCTCCTGGCCTGGCTCCCTGTACAGTCCCCTTTTTAATCAGATGAATGGGTGACTTCCTGGGGCTCGAATCACCAGCTAAAAGGGCACCCAGACCAGTGTATTTTGTACAGAGAACTGCCGCACCAGGGCGCTTACAAAGCAGCTGCGTCAGGCAAAGAAGCCACACCAGCCAAA